AGCTTTTATATATGTATTTTTTAAATCTGATACAACTGTATCCAACACATCTTTACCTCTCTTTCCCCAAATCAGTGTGGACCTCTGTCATGTCTTTAAAAGTGGCTTTTATGGCCAATTACTTCCCAGTAACTGCTGCAGTCAAATGCTGAGCTGCTCTTGTTTAGTCTCTGCCAGGCTCTTTCATCAAAAATGCAAACAGACTACTGTACCAGTTGGGAAATCTGATGAGAAATTAGTTTTACAAGGGTTCATAAAGATGCTTAATGGATTTATTAAATGATCTTATATAAAGTGTGTGTTTTTTAATACATGACAAAACAAATGTATCAATTTATCACTACCACTGTTGTCCAGAATTGTATTCAAGAATAAAACAGTATATCAATAGAAAATGCAGGTATTGACCTAATTTCTATTTCTGTTCTTTTCAGATCTGTTCCCTCTGAAGAGAAGTCGTTTGCTATAGGAATTCAGTTTTTACTCATGAGAGTATTAGGTAAGTTAGGACACCAAAACTCTTTGTGTGTAGTGCTATACTCTATAATATAAGTGACTAGTTATTGTATTAATGAAACACTTATTTTTGTTAATGTGCCTGGTAGAACCCCCAGATGCCAAAATATCCTCCTAGCTCACTTTTATTATTTTGAAACTCAACAAAGTTCACAGTTTATAAAGCCCCAAAGTGTCCAATATTAAATAGACTTTATGAAATAAATAATCCCATGAATAAATTGTCTAAAATATATAAATGAACAATTAAATTTTATAGTAATTTAAGAAATGATTAAAACTATGGTTATTTTGTTATTTTATAGTAACAGGTTTAGGGGTTCATTTTTATTTCATATACATTTTATATGTAATAAACATTGTATGACACAAAAGCGACATATAAAATAAAATGAAATAAAAGTGTCAGTGGAAAATATGCATTATGAATAAAACCAGACGTACACATTTTTTAATGAAAATTTTAAAAAGTCCAGTAAAAAATGATGAAATAACAGTTCATAATAATTAATTAATTATTTCTAAATTATTGGTTAATTTATATATTAACCAATAATTAATTTATTATACTTATTCCTTCATTTAATATTGCACACTTAAGGGCTCCATACTGTTTCCTCTTAGTTCACTGGGATGTGGGGCTGCTTTTTGGGTTCTACAACAAAATTAGGGAGTGTAATTAAACTAATTTTGAATTACATTTGTCAGCACTATGAGTATTTCCTCATAGATTTATTTTAAGCAAATGTTGGATTGCCCTCTAGTGGCTCCACCTCAACCATATGGGGCTATAAATTCATTTACCCTGAACTCACTGTCTTTCTGTCTTCCTCTCAGCCTGGCTGCCTGCCCCTGCTCTCTTCGGGATGGCCATCGATACGTCATGTATCTGGTGGAAGCATGTGTGCGGAAAGAAGTTTAGCTGTGGTTACTATGACAACAACATCTTGAGGAACAGGTTAGAAAACGTACCACTCAGAACACATCCTCACATGTGCACATGCAGTACATCCACATCACTTATCTTTATTTGTGTGACCCCTGCAGGTACTTGGGCTTACAGGTGGGTTATAAGGTCATGGGCATCGCCCTGCTGATGATGCTGGGCTGGAAGGTGCAGCGGACCCAGGAGTACAGTCTGGAGAAGAGGCCTGAAGGACTACTGTGACCGACCCTGAGCGTCTGTGTTAATCCAAACCTGTCTGTTTCTGAAAGCGTTGCTGTGGTGTTTTTGAAGAACAGTGTGCTGAGCAAAGCTGTGTCAGTGGGAGAAAGCCAAAGCCAAGAACAGGCCTACACTGACCTCAATATATGTGGGCCCACCTCGCTACCTGGTGCTTCACTGGCTGGAGTTAAGATATTCCTTTTTCCAAAAGGGAAAACTTGTTATATTTTTGAATGCTTTAAAGCTTCTGTTTGGAATTACTCTGACAGTATGATCCACTTATACAACCTCTCTTGTGTGAAGAGTGTTCCAACAACAGATAAATATCTTTGTGTATAACTTGTTGCTAAACAGTAGGAATCTATTCAGGTTTCTATTTCCAATGGGAACATATTCTGTAACTAATTAACTGTATTAGCTTAATATTTAAGTTTATTTTTTTATGGGTGTTTGTCTCATACACAGAGACATCTGTGATTAACTGCAGTACTCATTTCATACATGGTCATATATAACACTTGATTTAATTACAGTGCTAATGATTTTTTAAGATATCAAGTACATACATTGAATTACCCACATATTATGCTATCTACTGGTGTGGTTATATGATAGTTATTACAGTGGATTGCATACTTTTTCCATACCTATTGTAAGTATTACTAGCTAATAAAAAAATATACAATATAATGAATCAAGTCAGCGTGAAGTCATTTATTTAATTTGCTAACAAAGAAACCCTGAATGTCCCAGGTTTACTGCATGCCACTTTTTGGTATTTGAATTAATTGTAACAGTAACCAGTAAAGTACACAATCAGCTTAAAGTGGATCCTGCATTTTTCAATAATGTTGTGGCAATATCTTCTAGAGGGGCCCTGTGTCAAAATATAGTTTTAGGATCTTTATATTCTGCTCATGTGGTGCATATTCCTAAATAAGGTTTGATCAATTGGCCGCGAACTAACTGACACAGAAAAACTGGGGATAAGGAGTATTATTCATTCATCATCATTATGCAGCATTAGAGTACTGGTTAGGTAAATAAAAGAAGCTGCCATGTGGCCCAATAGGCCATGTATGTCTCCCCAATATGGAAAATATAACAATACATATTAATACAGTCTTGATGAGACATGTTTCACAATACACATAAATAGTCAGCAGTATAGGTATAGCTATACAGCACAGTGGCTCAGTGGTTATCACTGTTGTCACACAGCAACAAAGTCCTGGGTTCGACTCCTTTCTGTGCAGAGTTTGCATGTTCTCCCGGTGTCTGTGTGGGTTTCCTCCGGAAGCTCTGCTTTCCCCCACCATCAAAACATTAGGTGATTTTTTCCAGTCAGTGACATTGACCAAGGCACTGGCTCACATCTAGAGTTCATCCCTGGACACTGCACAGTTGCTGCCCGCTGCTACTAGTGCTTAGGATGGGTCAAATGCAGAGAGTGAATTTCCTGATGGGGATCAATGAAGGATATCTTAAGTTAAAGAGTACTTTATTATAGGGTGCCCAGTTAGCTCAGTGGGTTAGCTGCCTTGCTGCAGCCGGCCCCAGGGTCGAATCTGACTGCGGCCCTTTGCTGCAATGGGTCATCCAACCCATCCTCTCCTGCCCACCTTGTCCGTCTGTCTCCAGCTGTCCTTTCAAAAATAAAGGCATAAAAGCCGAAAAAAATATACTTTAAAAAATAAAGTACTTGAAACTTAAGTGTTAACAACAGTCAAGTCAAGTCACACTTTACAAAACAATCAACACAACAACACACAATGATATAGTGCCTGGTATTGTTCTGTTCATGATCTGTTAGTCTGCTATGTACTTTAAATTGTCTTGTATTGTTATGGCAAAGTGGCTCATTGAGATTACATCAATACGTTCAAAATAACTATACAGTGAATCTATGTATACACACAGGTATACATGTACAGATATGAAATACACAGGTACATACTTGTATACTACACACATGCACACAGCCTTCGTATAAATATAGAATTTAAGTGACTAAATATTTGGACTGCATTTATGTAGCATTAAATATATGTTGGATCTTGCCCATATACAGCAATAGTAAATATTATAACATATTATGTAGAAAGATACATTTGGAAATTATAAATCTTTAATAGAAAGCCTGTGTTATAAACCAGGAGCGTGGAGTTTGAAATAGGTTCTCCAGGATAGTCTGCAAACTTCTACAGGAGCACAACTGTGAGTATGCTGACTGGCTGCATCAACATCTGGTACGGCAGTTGCAACGCCCTCAACTGTAAAAGGCTCTACAGAGGCTGGTGAAAGCTGCTCAGCACATCACCAGGTTGAAGCTGCCATCCATGGAGGATCATCAGAGACCCCAGTCACCCTAGCCATCTGGCAGACGGTACCGCAGCATCCGGTCCCACACCACCAGGCTCCCTCAAGCTCAGCTCATTACTATCAGTTGTCCCACACTGGTAAACTTTACCTTTACTACTCTTACTTAATGTTACCCATATGTTACCGTTTACATTTGCAGTTTATTAATTGTATTACTACTGTTCACCAATCTACCACAGTCTTATAATTTTTATTGTTTTATTCCTATATTTTTACGTCTGCAATATTGTACATACAAAAAATATCTTAGATTCTCTTTTTTTTAATGTTTGTGATTTTCTTTTTACACATTTTGTATGGGAAATGTTGAACTTCATTGCCCATTAGTGCTTCACTATAATTGTTGTGTATTGAACTTGAACATTTACGAGGCCAGGAGAATAATTGAAAGATCCTATCAAGCTGCATTATGGGAATTGTAGAATCCAGTGTTTAATGAGGTGCATCCATACTGGAACCTAAAAGCCCAAAAGATATCTCCGCCTCTCTGTCTGCATCAATTTTGACCTTTCTTTTTAGAATCTGTCTCTAAATTAGTTCACTAACTTTATGGGAGTGCAATGCTGACTCACTGGAACATCCCACTAGGAACAGTGTAAGATACCAGCGTGAACAGCACCCTGTATGTCTGATAGGAGCACACATGTTGAACCCAGAGTCCCTCCAGCAGCACATTGTACATGTCTGCCTCTGCCCCCTCCCTGTCTGCTCTCCTCCGACTCACATGACGTCATCTTATATCACGGCTGTCAGCTCAACGGAGAACGAGGAGAGGCCGCGCATGCGCAGAAGCCCTTGGGTGAGAGTGGAGGGGAAAAAAAAAAAAAAAAA